CGGTGCAGCTGGAGATGGCGGCCTGATACTTGGCGACGCTGGCGTTGCCCAGGGCGATCTGGTGGATGATCTTGGGCACGACGACGGGCGGCAGCGTCGACGTTGATGCCTCGGACGACAGCTCCGTGACGTTCTCCGGGTGGCGATAGAGGATGTCGGGGTGCTTGTGCAGCAGCGGGTAAAAGGTGCTGTATGTCAGGGCAATCTCGCCCAGCTCATGGATGTGCCGCCGGAAGAGGAAGACGATCCAGAAGAGGGCGATGGCAGCCAGGGCCACGATGTTGCGGGTGCGCATGGCGGGCGGGTCGAGGAGGAGGAATAAGGGGACAAGGGAGAAGAAGGAGAAAAAGAAGCAGTTGGTGAGAGTGGAAGAAGAGGGAGAGGAAGAAGAGGCGGGAGGAGGAGAAAGAAGGGGGAGGAATGACAGAGACGTCAAATGTTAAGGTTTGGGTGGTACTTGCGGCAGGTTAGTGCTCTCTGAGTGTGTGCTTGGCCAAGCCTTGGAGAGGAGCCGAGCGCCAAGTACCCAAGAGCCTCTTGTTAGGTGCCAAGGTACCTAGATGGTAAGGCAGATACTGAGTAAGAAATCCATCGAGGCACTGAATAAGTGCTCTCCTATACTATCTCTTTTTTATCATTATAGATCTGTTTTTCATTTTTCTATCTTGACCCTTCTATCCTATTCTCTGTCTCTACCTCTCTTGTCCGCTTCGTGCAAGTGACGGACTCTTGCAACTGCGGACTCCGCCAGCCGAGGCTTCAAGACAACAAAGAAACAAAGGGAAAAAAGAAAAATTCGAAAAAAGTTAGCCTACGCCTCGCACCGTTTCGGGCTTCAATATGGCCCCGACAGTTCTACCTGACCTCGAAATAAAATATGGAGCTGGCTTGGCTGGGCCCCTTTTCCACTAGGTTCCCTTTCTCTGTGTCAGGGCCAAAGAGGCGCTAAATGGAACGCCTTCAAAAGTCAGTTTAGCTGGTGGCTTGCCCATTTGATGGCACAGATCCTGCGGAGTCAAATCACTGTCAGCGCATCCCTTTGAACAACACAGCCCTTGTCCGTCTCCTTGGCGGACATGCAGCCGAGCCCGAGGGGTACCCATCACAAACAATAGGTATTTACGGTCACTTCAGCACCTGGTCTGTACCTGCGCCGAGTTGCCGCCTGTACCGTCGACATGCATGAAAAGTGCGTGGCCATGGGGGTCCAGTCCCAGGCGAGACTCCGTCTCGGACCCGGAAGATGGAAAGACTGTGCTTCAAGAAACAATTCCAAAGTCAACAGTAGATAAGAGGCAAACTTGGGGCTAGAG